TATGGGCTTGGCAGGGGCTGGCCAGTGTCATGTTTGGGCTTTATTGGAGGAGACTATGAGGTAGTATTTCTATAGGGAGAAATTATTCACGCACAGGTTTAAACTTCGCACGCGCGGGAAACTGTGTGGGGAGAAGCCGGAGCTTAGGGCCTTTGTTGTCTTGGGTGGCAGCGCCATCTTGGGGACGCCCTTCTGACTGTTCTCTGTGCCTTTCACTTATGATATATCAGTGAACAGGCCAGACAAATTCACTGCCCTTGGAGGCTTACATTCTAGATGGAGAAGGCAGAGAGATGGAATGATAAATAATAAACACAACACATTCATCCATGTATAGAGTACATGAGAAAAAAGAGACAGTATGGATGGGTAAGGACATTTGGCAATGCCAGGGCATAGGGGACTGCAGTGTTGGACTAATTCCAGTGTAAAATAGGGTGGTCAGGGACCCTCCTGAGGGAATGTGATTTGAGTAAAGATATGGAGGAAAAGAGGGAGGGAGCCAAGTAGGTAACTGGGGGAGAGCATTCCAGGCAGAGAGGACCAACTAGAGCAAAGGTCCTGAAACAGTGGCCATCCTGGTACAGTTAAGGGCCAGCAAGGAGGCAGATATGCCTGGGCCCCTAAGAGTGAATTGGGGGAAACAGTCAGTGAGGATAGAGTTGAGGAGGTACCATGGGTATGAGAGGCTGTATGGCAGGCCATTGACTCTGCACCATTATAGCATTTTCTCACCCCCCCCTTTTTCTTTTTTGAGACTGTCTCACTCTATCACCCAGGCTGGAGTGCAGTGGCATGACCATGGCTCATTGCAGCCTTGACTTCCTGGGCTCAAACACTCCTCCCACTTCATCCTCCTGAGTAGGTGGGACTGGGGGTGCATGCCTGGCTAATCTTTGAAACATTGTTTTGCAGAGAGGAGATCTGGCTACGTTGCCTAGGCTGGTCTCAGATTCCTGGGCTCAAGTGATCCTCCCACTTGGCCCCCCAAAGTGTTGGGATGACAGGCGTGAGCCACCCCACCTGCTGAGATGGGATGGAAGCTGAAGTATTTCTAATAGAATCATCCTGGCTGATGTATGAGAACCAGCTGGAACAAAGATAATGCAGGGAGACCTGTGAGGAGACGACTGCAGTAGTCCAGGTGGGGAAGATATGGGCTCAGACCAGGAAGGGGCAGAGAGGTGATGAGAAGTGATTGAATTCTAGATGCATGCTGATGGAAGAACCAGTGGATTTGCTGCTACATAGGATGGAGGGAGGATGGTGAGACACATAAGACTCCAACTGGGAGGGCTGAACCCTAGGAGGGTTGAGTTGCCATCAGTGGAACTAGAGATGGTAACAGGTGCAGCAGGATTGAGGGGCAGACCAGGGGTTTGGTTTTGGACGCTACATTTGTGATGCTGTAATTCAGCAATCTTGTATCTGAGGGGCCCTGTGATAGTGTTTACTGTTCCAAAGAAGTCAGTCGGGCTCGGTGGCTCAGCCTGTAATCCCGCGCCTTTGGGGGGCTAAGATGAGTGGATTGCCTGAGACCTAGGGTTCGAGACCCACCTGGGCAACTTGGCAAGACCCCATCTCTACAATAAATCAAAAAATCACCACGCCTTTGGGAGGCTTAGGTGAGTGGATTGCCTGAGCCCACGGGTTCGAGACCTGCCTGGGCAGGTGAGACCTCATCTCTACAATAAAATCAAAAAATTAGACCGGCGTGGTAGTGCACGCCTGTAATTCCGGCTACTTGGAAGGCTGAGGCAGAAGGATTGCCGGAGCCCAACAAGTTGAGGCTGCGGTGGCCGGGATCAGCCACTGCACTCTCCAGTCTGGGCAACAGAGTGAGACTCCAACTCAAAAAAAGAAAAAAAAAAAGTCAGTCAGAGATCCTGTAGGGAGACACATTGTTTGTTAGAACTTACGGGTGGTTCCGATGGTGACCAGTAGGTGAAGAAAGAAGATGGTGACCAGTCGGTGAAGAAAGAATCTGCACCTCGGGCCAGTACAGCAAGTAGTTTTACAGTCAAGCAAGTTAATTACTCAAATTGCTATGTTGTTTACAATTGCGTTGATTAAGGGCACTGCCTACATTGTTCTCAGCTCTGCTAATCACTTACCTCCCATGGCTCATTACTGGGAATATACATATCCTTCAGAGACCAGCCTTGGCCAGAGGCCACTCCCTGAGGGAGGGGCCAGAATGAAGCCAGGGATAGGGGAAAAGAGCCTATGTCTGGACAATTTCCTCACAGATGTTTATTAGCCATCCTAATGGAGAGGTCAAGTAGGCAGTTGGGTATAAGTTCTGGGCTGTAGATAAACTTGGGAATCATCAACACATCTACAGCATTTAAAGCCCTAGGAGTGCATATGTAGGTGTACAGAGAAGGTGACTGAGGCTGATTCATGGAACCCTCTGATGTAAAGAGTTTGGGAAAAAGAGTAGGAATCAGTAAAGGAAACCAGGAAGGAGTGGCATGAGGAAACCAGAGTTCCAGAACCTCAGTGAAGGAGGCAAGTTCAGGAGAAGGGAGCGTGTCCGATACTCCTAGCTTTATTGAATTGGAGTGTTTTGTTTTGTTTATTTGTTTTTGTCAGAGTTTCACCCTGTTGCCCAAGCTGGAGTGCAGTGGCATGCTCATAGCCACTGCAGCCTCAACCTGCTTGGCTCAGGCAATCCTTCCACCTTAGCCTTCAAGTAGCTGGAACCACAGGTATGCACCACCACACCCAGCTAATTTTTGTTTGATTTGCTGAAGAGATGAGGTCTCTCCAAGTTGCCCAGACTGGTCTCAAACCCCTGGGCTCAGGCAATACTCCTGTCTCTGCCTCCCAAAGTGCTGGGCTTACAGGCATGAGCCACTATGCCGGCCTTAACTGAGTTTTTAACACCAGTGTCCCATGGCATTCTTATCAAAGGAAAGTGCAGTTTTATCTCCCCTTTCTGTTTATAGGATGCATTTATATAACATGAAAGAACATACTAGACTTTTCTCCCTCTAGTTTAGAAGAATGTTTCTGAAACGTGTGCTCCGTAGAATACCAGTGTCAACCCAGATGTTAGTAATTGTTTCTTGGGATTTGGAAGGAGGTTGCTTATCCAAATAGATTTAAGAACTGCTATATTATATAGCCTGTTCTTTTGAAGGTCTGCATTGTGTGTTGGTCTATCAAAGACTCTGAGAAGTCTTGTAGAAAAAAAAATCTCACGTTAGTTTAACCTAAAGGATTTCAAATCTTATTTTACATCAAGTCTCCTCCTCCTTTTTCTCCCCCATGAAACATCTATAAGCATCTTGGGGTGAACTAGTGTTTTGTAGAATAGAGCTTAAGAAACTGTTCTAGAAGATTTATGAATCTCCGTTGGTCAGGTGTAGTATTGAGTAGCTCATGATTTACAAAGATAGACAAGATAAATTTCAAAATGCCTTCAAGTTTTTATAATTCTAAAAAATTAGACTTTCTAGATGTCATTACGCATTAGCTATAAAACCAGGTGCAGTGGCTTATACCTGTAATCCCAGCACTTTGGGAAGCCAAGGTGGGAGGATCACTTGAGCCCAGGAGTTTGAGACCAGCTTAGGGAACGTAGCGAGGCCTCGTCTCTATAAAAAATTAAGAAATCAGCTGGGCATGGTGGCCCGTGCCTGCAGTCCCAGCTACTGGGGAGGCTGAGGTGGAAGGATCACTTGATCCCAGGAATTCGAGGCTACATCGAGCCATGATCATGCCACTGCACTTCAGCCTAGGTGAGCACCTACCAATATATTAATTTCCTCAGCTAGTCTAGACTGGTGCTTTTGAATACAATGAATATCATCCTAGATAATATTCTTACCTTTAGTTAATGCTGCTTTCATGATTTGTAACCTAAAAAGTATTATCTGGCAGTTCAAAAAGTCATAAATTGAAACCACAACATACAATCAATACAGAATGTCTTCTAGAGAGATCTCAGAAATTTATATAGGAGTATCAAGGTCCTATACCTTTGAAGATGGGGTTAAGCAGATGAACTAGGCTTAATAATCCTAAAAAACCTGCCTTTGCTCAGGGAACAAACCCCACAGAAAGAAGTTCATTCCTTAAAATTTATTTTCAGAATCTGGCCGCTGGAATACAACAAATTGCAGAGTTCTTGGGATTCTCTCTAACGGGGGAGCAGATTCAAATCATCTCGGCCCAGAGCACCTTCCCAGCAATGCGAGCCAAGTCTCAGGACACACACGGTGCCGTCGGCCCGTTCCTGTTCCGAAAAGGTAAAGTCTTAATGGTTTCTAGAATGTCACATCAGTTTAGGAGGGACTTTGCACACAAGCAAGCCAAAGAACTTTATCTTAAATAAGACAGGGTTTTCGTTTTCTCTCCTTCAATGAGAACTCTGGACACAGGTGGTCACTGGAAGCCCCACACTGTATTTTAGAGTAATACATTCCTTCTATCTGGCTGACTGTCACCTTCTGAAATAGCAGCCAGAGCTCAACCTTTATGTACAAATTCCAGGTGGGAAAAGGAGGAGTGGTCGTGGAACAGAATTGTATTAGCTGAGTGAGCCCCCTTTAAAGAGCTTTCCTGGAGACTCCACTCAGGGACTTCTTAAATTTCTTTTTAAAATTATTTTATTTTTACTTCAATACCTTTAGGGGGTTCAAACAGTTTTTGGTGACACGGATGCATTGTATGGTGGCAGGGAAGTGTGGATTTTAGTGGACTCACTACCCCCAACCCATGCACATTTTATCTGACAGGTGAACTTAACATTTCACTGACCACCTTCCCTGCAGTGGTGACTGGGTAATATGACTTTTTTTTTTTAAAGCTAAAATGAACCCTGACCCTAACCTGGACTTTATTATCCAATTAAAATCAGGGTTTTGCCCATAAGATATAAGGAGAAAATGAGTATTGGGTAGGAATCTAGCTATCTCTAACACAGATGACTTTTACTACATTTCATTAAAATATTCTAATTTCTTATGGAAATTTACTATCACATAGCTTTATGATTGCCAGTTTTATTTTTTATGGTGAGTGTAATGAAAGAGTAACAAGATATAGAGGCAGCAAATATAACAGCAAGGACAACAACAGCTAACATCAGGCATCTATCGAGTGGTAAATGCTGTGTTGGGTTTGAATTTTATAACAAAAGGAATACGAAATTCTTCATTTTACAGATGTAGGAACCAAAGCTCGGGGATATTAATTTTCCAGTGTCACATAACTCAGAAACAGTGAAGTCAGGATTGGAGTCTACACCTACATGACCCTACCCACTTTGAAAGCAGCATACCCTGACTTTGGTTGAATTCTTAACTGACCTTGATTTTTATGACTTGTTTTGTTAGCTCTCAGGAGGGGAGAAATATAGTCTTTCTATACATTGTTTTTGGGTGTTTGTTTTGGAGGCAGAGTCTGGAGTACTTTGGCACCATCATAGCTCACTGCAGCCTCAACCTCTTGTACTCAAGCAACCCTCCCATCTTGACTTCCCAAGGTGCTAGGATTGACCTTGACCTCCCAAAGGCTAGGATTACAGGAATTACAGGTGTGCGCCACCATGCCCAGCCTATACGTTGTTAATCAAGTACTATTTAGAATTTTTAAAATTTTAAAGTAAATGAAGTGATAGTTTGGTGTTTTTTTTTTTTAATTGGAGTCTCACTATGTTGCCCAGGCTGGAGTGCAGTGGCATGCTCACAGCCACCGCTGCCTCGAACTGCTGGGCTTCGGCAATCCTTCTGCCTCAGCCTTCCAAGTAGCTGGAACTACAGGTGCGTGCTACCAAACCCAACTAAATTTTTGATTTATTGTAGAGACGAGGTCTCACCAAGTTGCTCTGGCTGGTCTCAAACCCCCGGGCTCAGGTAATCCTCTCGCCTCAGCCTCCCAAAGTGCTGGGATTACAGGCTGAGCCACCGCACCTGGCCTAAAGTGACAGTTTAAAAAAATTATGCTGTTCCTCGAAGAATATTCAGAATGCAAATAAAAATGGGAAAAGCATTAAAATTATGAAAATTTATCCCATCAGAGGCAGGTTTAACTTTTGGCCATATTTTCTTCTAGCCTTATTATGTGATGTTTTATATAGTTGATGACATTCATAAACAGTTTTGTGTTTCATTTTACCCCCTTAGTATCAGCATTTCTTCAAGTCATTAAACTCTCTTTATTGGCATACATTTCAATAGCTACACAACAAAGCGAGAACTTACAACTTCAACCCAAATCATCAAAAGAAAGAAATAACTTCCTTTGTGTGTGTGTGTGTGTGTGTGTGTGTGTGTGTTTGAAATCTCACTCTGTCGCCCAGGCTGGAGTGCAGTGGCATGATTACAGCTCACCATAGCCTTGACCTCCTGGGCTCAAGCGATCCTCCTACCTCAGCCTCCCAAGGAGTTGGTACCAACAAGGAGTTGGTACGCCAACATGCCTAGCTAATTTTTTTAATTTTTCGTAGAGATGAGTTCTTACTATGTTGTCCAGGATGGTCTAAAACTCCTGGAGTTAGGCAATCCTCCTGATTCAGCCTCTCAATGTGCTGGGATTACTGAGATGAGCTGTTGAGCACCGCCAACATTGTTCATTTTACAAGATAAATTACATTAGGTTTTAAGAATGTCTAATGTTTTTCATATATCTTTTTTCACATTTCAAAGTAAGCATCATGCTGAAAATGGTACAATCAAGAAGAAATATTCTAACAGATGTCTGGGTCTATTGTTTTTTGCGTGTTGCAGGTGAAGTTGGTGATTGGAAAAATTTGTTCAGTGAAACTCAGAACCAGGAAATGAATGAAAAATTCAAAGAGTGCTTGGCAGGCACATTACTAGGAGCAAAATTGAAGTATGAAGCATATTGCCAGGGTTGATTCTGGTCAATTCTGCAGGCCTGATTTTTAAATTTACATGGATAATAATTGAAGTTAAATAATTACATGATAAGTCAATCAAATAGCTAAATAATATGAATTTTAAAATAATGGTAACATCTGATATTATGAGTATAGATATATTTGTCCATTTTTCAAGGAAAAGGTATTTTAGCTGCCCCAAAGAGACACTCTCAGTAATGTATTATGCTGGAGTTTTAACTTTTTTCATGTTCTGTGTTCACATAAAAGCATAAGCAGATACTATCACAGACATACCTAGATCTGCGTTTAAGCATATATGTGACATTTCCAGATAATGTACAATTTTCTGTACTTTCTCATAATATCTCCTTCTTGCCATAAATCAAATCACTTGTGGTAGCTGTCTGAAACTTACTGCTAGGGGAAATTTAATTCCAATTTTGCACTGACATGAGATGAATACATTCTATTCTAATTGAATTCAAGAAAAATGCATTGTAGGCTGGGCACAGTGGCTCACACCTGTAATACCTGTAATCTTAGCACTTTGGGAGGCTGAGACAGGAAGATTTCTGGAGTCCAGGAGTTTGATACCAGCCTAGGCAACATAGTGAAACCTCGTCTCTATAAAAAAAGAAAATACATTAGCCAGGTATAGTGGCATATGCCTATAGTGCCGGGACTTGGGTGGCTGAAGTGGAAGGATCGCCTGAGCCCAAGAGGCTGAAGCTGTGATGAGTTGTGATTGCACCACTGCACTCTTCTCTGGGCAACAGAGTGAGTCTCTGACTCAAAAATAAATTAATTAATTAAATAAAATAAAAAGCATTGTTCTACTCTGTGTATGCCTTTGAAGTAGGCCTTTATAGAGGCTTCTCAAGGGATGTGATATTTCTACTTAGTACAATCTTTGATTTAAAACTAAAGACAAGACTTTGTGTTATTCTACCATAAAGGCTTTTTTTAAATCATAGAACCCCCAGTAGTCATGTGGAAATAACAAGAGAAGATAATGTTTTAGTAAAAACTCTTCTAACTGTCTGACATTCCTCAACTTCTTAATAATCCTTACTGTTTACAATATAGTTCGTTCTGTTCTAAAACTAAGCTATGTGCAGTTAAGGATGGAATGATTAAGAGAAAACGTTACATAAAATTGCTTTTAGAAAAATTATAAGGTTACTATTTCTGACAGTATGGTGGATTAGATAAACCGAAAGCACTCCCCTTAAAACACCCAGAAATGCTGAAAAAAATTATTGTAGATATATAGTTCAGCTCTCGATAAAGTAAACCAACTCATTAGAGAGTATAAGTAACAACAACAAAAAAAAAACCCCCAGAGAACTAGAGCAACTAAAAATCAGAAATGATATTGAGCTGCCATTGAGAAAGTTGTCAGTAATAAAGACACTGGGGTTTTAATGCCCAAGTCCATATGACTGGTGCAAGAGTAGACAAAAACACCAGTAGAATAAAATAAAGCCATTAAACCAACTCATGTGTGTAAGTAAACTTCAAATATAACAGAGATAGCATTGCATATCCTAGGAAAAAATCAAACTCTTCAACATGTGGTACTAAGAAATAGGTTATAATATAGAAGAATAAAATCAGATCCTCAAAGACCTGAATGGAAAACCTCAAACTATAAGAATCTTAGAAAGCACAGGAGACACCCTTATGAAAATTGGAACTAGAAACCAATTCCTATTCAGAACCCTAAAGGCCAATACCTTAAGAAATCAGATAGACAAGTGGGACCTCATCAAATTAACGAGCTTCTGCAAAGCAAAAGAAACAAACCATCAAAAGAACAGAGAGACCAGCCCACAGAAAAGGAAAATATATTTGCCAACCGTTTATCTGACAAAGGCCTAACATCTAGGATCTACAAGGAACTCAAACACGCTGAAAGGAAAAAAACAAGCAGCCCCTTTAAAAAGTGAGCAAAAGACGTGAATAGACACTTCTCAAAAGAAGATATATGGGCAGCCAACAGACACATGAAAAAGTGCTCAGCCTCACTCATCATCAGAGAAATGCAAATCAAAACCACACTGAGATACCATTTAACCCCTGTAAGAATGGCCATCATGAATAAAACAAACAACAACAGATGCTGGGGAGGATGTGAAGAAAAAGGAATGCTTCTACACTGCTGGTGGGAATGCAGACTAGTACAACCTCTTTGGAAGACAGTGTGGCGATTTCTGA